GTACATGTAAACCCGGAGGACACCCTCTGCTATCTGTCATTCTTCAGGTTCCATCCACCTTGTTTGTGAGTATGGGTCTTGTTGGCCTGTTACCGTGTCTATTGGTGAGACTGGCTGACTCTGTTCACCACTGATTATAGCACAGGTTTGCTGTAGATGATGGATTTCCTCCTTTCCCTGTCTAGAAATGATGACTCTGCCTTTGCTCATGAAGGACAGTTTTGCTGGGAATAGAACTCTAGGTAAATGGACTCTCTTCCTGCTTTTCTCCTTTCAAAGCACTGCACCATTTTCTTCCTTCCCACCAGTGTAGCCATCGGCACCTCACTCCTAGTCCTCTCCAGTTGTCACTGTCTGGAGGGTATAGCTTTGACACTGGAGACTTAGACATGCTCATCAATGGACAGAGAAACTGGGGACACTGACAGGCCCTTTGGAACAAGGCCACATTCTGCACTACTTTGGGATTACACCTGGTGCACGTAGAACTTTATGATTAAAACTATGTTCCATTCTATACACACTCTGGTGAGGCCTGAACATCGATTTCCTGTGCATTATTGGATCCATCTCCCTCATCCTAGAAAAACAGAGGACCAGCGCAGCACTTTGATACCTTCACAGAAGGCAAATTGGAAGAGTCCTGGAGTTAAGCTTTGATGTCTGTTTCTGGACAGTGGATGCTTTGTCATGTAAAATCTTTATTGGCTTTTTAAAACATTCTTGTCTTAACAAAAACTCAATCCTTGTGCATGTTCAATGGGTGCTTGAAAAGTGAGTGCTTTTCATCTGCTGTCACCACCCCAAGACCACGGCAGGACTCACCCCAGTGCCTACTGGGCTGTTTCACAGGAAACACAGCACCTGTCCAGCATCTCCATCTCCCTCACTGTTTGTTTTAGGACAGATTTGCAGAGGCACACGTGCCCCAGAAATGTCCAAGTCTATAATATCACAGGGGCATGCTGGGAATGGGTCCTATGCAAATGTTCCTTTTGTTCTCTGGTAGAGGATTCTCCTCAGGTGGACAGAGCTGGCCATGGGCGTCAGGACCAGCATAGAGCTTTACAAAGTAGTAGCCTATGTCAGACCCCAGAGCTGCAGGAGCAGGAGGTCTGAGGACAGGGCTCTAAATTCAATCACCACCTTCCTTGGAAGAAACAGAGGAGAAAGAGACAGGGGCACAGACCAAGCCCTGTAGCTACAGATGCAGAGATCTGAATTAAGAAGCTGTAAGCCAAGGCACATCTGGGTCATCAAGAGCTAGAGGAGACAAGGGAAGGTTCTCTGGGGGAGCCTACAGTAGAGCCTGACTTTGCCAACAGCTGAATTTTGTTGGTGCTTTTATCCTTTTATCCTCAGAGCTGTGAAAGGATAGCATTCTGTGCTATTAGTGTTATGATTCATGACAGCGCAACCCTGGCAGGTCGGCTGGCAGGTGGGAGACTGACAGATACGCCATGCAGAGAGAGCTCTGGCATAGAGTTTATCTAGTGTGTATTGATAAGGGTATAAAGGCAAGGGGTTATGGAGGGGAAGAGAAAGAGAGAGGGGAGACAGAGAAAGAAGGGGATGAGGGAGAGGCAGAGACTGCCTCTTCAGAACAAGGAGAGAAAGAGGAAGAGAGAAGAGGAGGCATGAAATCTGCTTGCCTCAGCAGAAAGGGGGGGGTTGGGAGTGAGCAGGGCTTGTCTCTTAAAGGGACAAGGTACCTACCCAGGTGACAGGGTAGGACAGCAGATTTATTATTGCAACAATTAGCCCACCCAATCTGTGGTGATTTATTAAAGAGCCCTAAGAAATCAATGGGACTTGGCATTGCTTTCTCATTTCCAGTCACAGCTGGGACTCCCACAGTGAAATACATTTCATTTCACTGAGCTCTAGGTTCTGGGACAATGGTTAACAAAGCTGAAATTGGTTGTGCATCAAGAGACCTACAGTTGGAGCACATTTATTTCTATGTTGAAGACCCCAGATAATTGCTCTATAAAGGCAGAATTCAAGAGCCTGGAAGGGAGGTCCAGAATTCCCAGAGTCCTGCCTTGGCAATCATTTTCACTAGAGTATGTCCTTACTGGTAGTTGCTAAGTGGACCCCATGGCAGGGCTAACAAACATGCCCAAAGCTAGGTGTGGCTCAGCAGGAGAATGCTCCCTAGACTTCCATCCCCAGCAGTGCAAGGAGAAAACCACAGGTCCTGCTGGACTTGTACCCACTGTTCTCCCAGAGTTAGGAGTCTGCCTGTATGAGACCAGACACACCTGACTGCGGTTTCTTGCCTGGCATTGGATTTAGGGTCCAGCTCCATTTTCTCATCAGCCTTACCTTCCCAGCTCTGTGCACAGGGGAGGAGCCAAGGGGAAGGAAAGTGGAAGTGGTGCTGACCATGACCCAGTTCGGAAAGGACTCTACAGCATTCAATGTATAAAGTATTCGTGGCTCTAAAAGCCTTTCCAGGAGTTTGAAAGTGTTTTCTTAGATCCAGATGGATCCAGATTGGAATTCTAGCTCAGCCACTTTCCAGCCCTGATGGAGTTTTAGGAAAGTTATTTAACCTCGTGGGTTGTCACGGTCTTTGCATCTAAAATGATGTCTTGTCTCATAGTAGCGATGGCTGGGGGGTTAAGAGAACAGAAGTGACTCCTCTAGTGGCTGGCACAGGGGAAGCCCTCAGCAATAGGACTTCCCAGCATCAGCGTTTACCTTTCTCATCAAGGCAGTTACCATGCTCTATCCCACTCCTGTTCCACGGGGTCTTCCCTTTGTCTCTGCTAGTGGATAAAGGATGGCTTGAGTGGGACAAGTTGAGCTCCTTCTTTGGTTAGCAATAAATAATAGAAGTAAAGTTTCTTCTATTCCTCCAGATTAACACATGTTTGAATACCCAGATTAGCAATACTTGTTTTTCCTGCACTGGTACAAATGCTGGGCGTGGTAGAGATGAACTACTACTGAGAAACCGCGAACACCTGAAGTTTAACACGGGTGGGTATTTTAAACAACACGTGAGACCCTTACATTATTGATAGTGTTATGCTGCGGCGGGTCATGAATAATACATGCACATTGGTCTCTAGTGTATCATTCTTTATAAGCAGGGTTTTTTTTTCTTATTTTGAGTTTAAAGAGGACTGACAGTTGGGCATCAGTCCACCTAGTGTTCACTTGTGTACTTTGAATCTGTTAAGAAAAAGAAAAGGGGAAAACTTGGGAAAAGCACACACCTAATTTATCTAACCATGCCAAAATATCTCCTTTATTTTGGGGGAGAAGCAATGCAGTGCGTTTTGGAAGCAGCAAAATTCCCAAAACCTTTTTATGACAAAAATGTCCTAATGTTAACAAATGTTACTTTTCAACCCAGGATAATCTCCCAATTAAACTTAGTTTTTATGATTAGAAACTCACAAAACAATTACCCTCTGAAGAGCTTACTTTCCAGTTTTCTACTATATTAGGTCTAAGAATGTATTTTATTCTCTCAATAGCTCTCTCGCTCTCTCTCTCTGAGTTCCCAGAGTTCTCGTCGACTTGACCCCTAGCACTACAAAAAGAAACACCCAGCAAAGGGTCCCGTATAGCCCCTTTGCATCTGTCATACAGATTTAGCTTGCCCACTGAAGACAGCAGACACCACCAGCTGTGCCTCCCTAAGGCCCCTCCTCTGCTACAGCCCTAGGCAGGCCAGCTGTGAGACTCCCAGAGGCTCGGAAGCTAGATGTGAAAGCCCAATCCTCTTCAGACTCTGATGTGTGTCCAGTAGAAAATACAAGCATACAGCAGCTACAATGTGCACTTTCGGACACAGCCCCCTTGATCTGTCACAGCCGAGTGTCATCCTGACTCACTTTGTGTCTCCTCAGGCTCTCTGAAAACTCTGTACTTGAGGAAAAGACAAAGCCTAGATACTAAGGAGAGGATTGAAATGATGTGTAAGAACTGAGGGAGCCAGGGTGAGGCCCCTGCCTGTGAGTTCTCCCTCTGCTGATGGGAGCTGGGGGGCTAAGAGAACTTAGAGGACCCTGTCAATGTGCAGATTGTGATATATTCACAGTGGGGCCCTAAACTCTGAGAACTCCTTGTGAGCCAACATTTTACCATCTAGTTCCTCTTTAAGCAACGCTGAGATCTAAGCCAATCAGAACCCGACCAGTACCCCAGCTACAAAGAGAAGGGGGAAAGAGTAGAAATCTAATCAATACCGGCCCCCTCCCCAGGGGACTAAACAGGAAAGTATCTGGTGGATAGCCATTCCCCTCATTCTTTGCGGTTTGATCTCTCTCCTGATCTGGGGTCACAGCACTCTGAAGAGCAAGGCACTTGGAAAGCTGGCATTAGAAAATGAAAGCCGGTGCAAGCGTGCCCTCTAAACTGTCCCAGGAATTGGGGTTATTTTAGACAGATTCCTCTCCAGTAAGCCTCAATTAAACAGCAAACTGTGTGAATGCTTTGGTGCTGGATGTGTGTGTGTGTGTGTGTGTGTGTGTGTGTGTGTGTGTGTGTTTTCTGTAGTGGGAGTCAAGTAAATATGTGCTTAGACCCCTAAAGCAGCTGTTCTCAACCTACGGGTCGTGATCCCTTGAGTCAGATGACCTTTACACAGTGGTCGCATATCAGATATATGATATGTGCCCACATTTTAGGAAGGTGGAGAACCTTAAAGAATAATAGGTGCGGTGGCAGGTCTCCAAGGGACCTGTCTGCACCGTGTCAAGTCCTGCCTTTCTTCGCCTCTCTTGCACAGAGATCTAGGGTGGCAGGAAATGTGACAGCCCTTCTGAAGCTGCAGTCTTGGCTTCCCTTGCCCTTCGCTTCTGCTCCGTCCCACGATGCTGGGAGCAGCTGTGTGATGCTCCGTGTTTTCATTTCACAGAAGATCCGTGTGGGTTGCCACGAGCTTCCGCGCGGCTTTAATGGTCTGGTTCCTGCAGCTGTCTGTCAGCTGGGTCTTCCACCACCACCCTCTGGGTAGAAATCAGAATTCAGGTGCTTTTATCATGCTGACGGGCCAGGACCCGGGGTTCCTTCGCTTGGGTTTGTGTCTGAGCCTATGTGGATTCCTGGCTTCCTTGAAAGGTAAGTTACTTCTGCTTACATCCTAGGATGATTTTAGCTCCGTGCACTCACTCTCCTTTCTCAGCTTGTCTACAATCCAGATGACTAGGGGACCTTTATTAGTTAGGTTTAACCTAACAGATGAGATTTGGGGAGCAGTGTGGGAAAACATTGCAATATGCTGTAAATCATATTTCATTTTTCTAACTAAAGTATGTCTTCCCGGTGAGCACACAGAGTCATCTGTTTCCGTAACCGTTCATGCTATCGATGTTCTCCGCTTGTTTATTTGCGACTATATGTAATACATTTTTCAAAGAGCGATTTGTTAGCCGGCACATATCACGCAGCTTGTGAGCCCTCCTGATGTCAGTAATTGGCCTCATTTGGGATCTTAAGAGTTGACTCAGACATGGCTGCTGGCAGAAGAGATCACATTCCCCCCTGTGCTACTAGGTTTCAGGGTTGGGGGGCTGATGGAGGGATCAGCAATAGAGTCTCACAGGGGGACATGGCAATAGGAGCCAGGAAGGTTTCTCGCTAGCTTCTGAATAAATGTTTCCATTGTTTTTAATTACACTAATGAGAATGACAGCTGGCAGGCAAAGGTTTTCTCTCCTGGGGCCATCCTTCCAAATGGAGGTCAGAAGTGGCTTCAGTGAGGAGCACGGCAGTTAGTCTCTGGTCCTTTTCCTTCTGGTCCCACTTTCAAGCCCACTCTTTTTTTTTTCCTCTCCCAAGGTATGAATCTTTTGGGAAAGTTCATGGCGTATTTCTGTAGTCAAATACGAACTGTACAAAACAAACTGTGGGGGGTGTTTCACTGGGGTGTTGGGGAAATGAGGTGTGCTAAAGAAACTACTGAGTTCTTAAAGAGTTAGAGACACAGGTGGCGCTACTGGCCAGACTTTAATGGCTCAAAAGGGTACTGAGAATCAATTTGCAATTGCTTTTAAGGGACTTTAAGTGAATTTTCTTTACAAACTCTGTATTTGCACAAATCTAAAAATAAATGATTCCAGGGTATATTTTTTTAAAGGTCGTGGCTTTGGAGGTTTTAGGCAATGATTCGATACTGTGTTTGTCTGGTGAAGGTGCCAGCCTTGCCAGGTGTAAACCTACAGACCTCCACAATTCTCGCAAAGCTTCTGGTCATGCTGTGAGTTGTGTTTAGTGACACAAAAATTTCCCTCCTCATGGCTTTCTTATTCCACGACATTTATGGTGCCCTTGACTTCCACGGGCAGTCTTCTCTGGATCATTCTGTGGACACTGTACTAGTTCTGAGAAGCCTATGTAGTCGTTTTATCTCAATGTTGAAACAAAGTAAGCCCGGTTTAAAAGGGGGTGGGGTTGAGTGGCCCTAGTGCAACCAGGTAGGTATGGGCCTAGCAGGTGCTGTGATGAGGCTCTGGCTGAGGCAGTAGCCTTGGGCCAGGGAGGAGCTAGCTCAGCCCCTACCCCAGCGCTTCCCTGACGCTTTCCTCCGTGTACCATGCAGGCTGCACAGGCTGTGCGTCTGAAGAGCAGCTCTTCCACACACTGTTCGCTCGCTACAACCGATTCATCCGGCCGGTGGAAAACGTCTCTGAGCCTGTCACAGTGCATTTTGAGTTGGCCATCACACAGCTGGCCAATGTGGTGAGTGCCTCAGACTCCAGACATATTGCTGGAGGACTGCGTTCCCAATGCGCGCGCACTTTGTGCACCTGATGGGCGCGGAGCTCTGTCGCACAACTTAAAAGTGGATGTCGGATGACATGTAAAGGGTCGCTCCAGGCCCTGCGTCAGGCTTTGCATGATTAGAAGTTCTTTCAGAGTCAGATTATAAAATACAGACATGAAGTCTAGTGGAATGGAGGCTCGAAGTGAATTATGTGCCATACTCTGTGGCCTTCAGTGAGTTCCTTTGGGATCATTTCAAGGGCAAGTGGAAGTAGGCTCTTTTGTTTTCCTTTTTTTCCCCCTTGTTCTAAATAATCTTCTTTCTCTTGCCCCATGGACAGGAGGTAGAAGAGACTGATTCTCAAAGTCCAGAAGGGGTCTTAGCTCCAGGTCTGGACTTCAGCCCCAGTTGCACTAGTAGATAGACTAGAAAATTAAGGGAACCCTGGAATGTCACCAGAGAGAGCATCAGAGATGGTCCTGAGATTGCCATACACATAGAGGAAGCCTGTCATCTTCCAGCCCAGCCCAAGGATAGGGAAGTGGTCCTCCTGCCCTACAGCATCTGTCCTGTGGGTACATTCGGGGTGACTTCTCTAGGTATACTTAGGGAAAGACCTAACTACAACATTTAGGCAGACACCACCAGGCTTCTCTAGTGTACAACAGGCTTACCCAGTGGGCGTTGTTAAGCCAGACTGGTCCTTTAACTCTTGATTGGACATATGCATATTCTGGTAAATATTGGTTCATGTTTCACATGTCAGAGGTTTCTTCTTACCTGGCTAGACCCATTTGATCCATTAAAAACCATTTATTGCATACCTGTTCTGACCCCTTCTTGATTTTGCACTGGGCAAGATGCATGTGGACTGGGCTGCAGGGAGTAGAGAGCTAAACTGGGTGTCCCCTGCAGTCTGGAAGGGCTGCCCCTCTGCTCAGCTTCACCTCACACCCTGATGACGGACTCTCTCTCAAGACAACTGTCTTAGGGAGGAAGGATGGCAGCCGGTGTCCTGAGTAGGTGGATTTTGACATTGGCATGTGGCTACTAATATAATTCATATGTGGCATATAAACAGATTAAATAAAATGAATTTCTTTTTGTATAACAGAACAGCCTGTTGCCCCATCACTACACTTTTAGCCATAATTCTTGCTTTAAGACTTGTTCCCAGAGAACTTAGACAACAATGAGGACACTAAGAGAGACTTACATAGATCTAATCTACATGGGAAGTAGAAAAAGACAAGAGCATGGGGACCCTGGGGGAGGGTTCGGGGGGGGGAGAGGCAGGGAGGGGAGCAGAGAAAAATGTAGAGCTCAATAAAAATCAATTTTAAAAAAGACTTGTGTTAGCAAGTACATGGAAGGCTGAAAAAATTATTTCTCCCTCCCAGGATGAAGTCAACCAGATCATGGAAACCAATCTGTGGCTGCGTCACGTATGTCTCTCATGTGTCTCTCCCTTTGAACCATGTCCACGTGTGTTCACTCAATGACAAACCCACCCACATTACCTCTTTCCCTCCACAGCTAGAGCACTCTGCCCTTTCTACTATCTACTCTCAGATCTGTTCTTATCTTGGGACTTACTGGAGTCCCAAGTCTGATGTTTACTTTCCTCTTTGATAGCTCTAGGAGGTCAGTGGTTGAGGTCTGGAGAGCATATTATATAATCAGTAGTTGACTTTTATAAGTTACAGTAGCTAGCGTCTTTGCTCTTTAAAGTCTAAATAGTGTACACAGTGCAATGGACTCATCCTCGTGCATGCAAATTGTGTTTACATCATTAGGAACAAGTTGCTACCCCAGTTTGAACTGAAGTGGTCCATGAAACACAATATGAAGCCTTAAGCTTGTTATAGGCAGGCCAAAATCAGCTCAGCTATTTAGCTCCCAGTGCCCATGGTTATAATCCTCTGCTTTTAATAGGAATCAATGTAGTCTTCAAAATACCTTACTTTTTAATCAAGAAAATTATTGAACTTACATGAACATTTGGCTTGCAGGGAGTGAAAGGGTTTGGGACTGGGGTTCAGAGAGGGCAAAGGGTAACAGTAATCAGAACCCCCAATGTACATGGATCACATTGTTAAAAAGCAAATTTAACAACAGTTAACACAAAGCAAGAACACCACCACCGCCACAACCAGAAATGGCTCTTTGTTTCCTTTCTTTTAGATCTGGAAGGACTACAAATTACGTTGGGATCCAAGGGAATACGATGGCATCGAGACACTTCGTGTTCCAGCAGACAAGATCTGGAAGCCAGACATTGTTCTCTACAACAAGTATGTGTGTCTAGACAGATTCACAGTCAATTGCCAAAATCATTGACCCAGGTGACCCACAGAAAAGGGACTGTGTTGCTAAAAGTGTGTGGCTTTCCTTGCAGTGCGGTCGGTGACTTCCAAGTCGAAGGCAAGACCAAAGCTCTTCTGAAGTACGACGGCATGATAACCTGGACCCCACCAGCCATCTTCAAGAGTTCTTGTCCCATGGACATCACCTTCTTCCCTTTTGATCATCAAAACTGTTCCCTGAAATTTGGTTCCTGGACTTATGACAAGGCTGAGATTGACCTCCTGATCATCGGCTCTAAAGTGGACATGAAAGATTTTTGGGAAAACAGCCAATGGGAAATTGTCGATGCCTCTGGCTACAAGCATGATATCAAGTACAACTGTTGCGAAGAGATTTACACAGACATAACCTACTCTTTCTACATCAGGAGACTGCCCATGTTTTACACCATTAACCTCATCATCCCCTGTCTCTTCCTCTCCTTCCTCACCGTGTTGGTCTTTTACCTCCCTTCTGAGTGTGGCGAGAAAGTGACTCTTTGCATCTCTGTTCTGCTTTCTCTGACTGTCTTTTTGTTGGTGATTACTGAGACCATCCCATCCACATCTCTTGTGATCCCACTTGTGGGTGAGTATCTACTGTTCACGATGATCTTTGTCACCCTATCCATTGTGGTGACTGTGTTTGTGTTGAACATACACTACCGCACCCCAGCAACGCATACCATGCCCAAGTGGGTGAAGACTGTTTTCCTTAAGGTTTTTCCCTCAATTCTGATGATGAAGAGACCTCTGGACAAGACAAAGAAGGCGGGTGATGTTAAAGACCCCAAAAACCTTCCTAAGAGATCTACCAAGGTCAAGTTTGCTCATCGAAGAGAGCCCAAACTTCTGAAGGAAGGCTGCCACTGTCAAAAGCCAAGAGAGATGGCTCCTGGCAGGAGACAGTTAAGTCAGCAGCCTGCACCATGGGAGACAGAGAGTTCAGAGCACTCACCAGACGTGGAAGATGTGATCGACAGTGTTCAGTTCATAGCAGAAAACATGAGGAGCCACAATGAAACAAAGGAGGTGAGCATATACCCCTTTCCTCCCGCCCACTGTGCCCCCAGCAAAGTGTAAAAGGCACTTTACAGACTAGTCAGAGCATCAGTGGGGGTTATTTTTGTGATACAGTCAGGCAGAATCATCTAAGACCAGCTCTATTATCATGCAGCACTGGGGAACCTGGATTAGAGCTTACGTAGCTACAATGAGATGATATGTAGCCCTACAACACATCTCCAACCTGCATTTACTTACAGTCAAATGCAGCTATGCTACACGCTACACATGCAAGACAGGTTGATGTGTGGAAAAAGCCCCGACACAGCAAACAGTAGTAAAGAGAGGGTGGGGAGAGAGACTGCCCAGGGAAAGGTGAACTGACTGAGGGGTTGCCTGAAGTCGCAGTGGTGAAGGACACGAGCTCCTTGGCACTCAGCAGCTCGGGTTTCACTTCCTCTACTAGAGGCGGACATAGACCTGAATCAAAAGCATCTTGGAGATATGCTCAGCATGCACACATTCTGCTCCTGTCTCCCACACTCTCACGCCAGTAACTTGCTCCTCCTTCCCCAAAGCAAGGACTCAAAGATACCATGCCAGCTTCCCATGCCACCCCTTGACTAGCTGAGGCTTCCAGAAGCTCTTGCCTGGTGTCCGAAGTTGTTTCATAACTATAGCTCCCTGCATCTTTAACTCCTAGTGAAGGAATATCAGGATCCCAATACCACCCTGTTGACGCACGGGGAGAAACTGAGAACACCTGGCCTAACACGTGTCACAGGACAGGAATGGCCAATGAGCTCCCCTCCAGGCTGGCATCATCTTCTATGTAGGAGATACAGTTACTGCTGACCTACCGTGCCATGCAGGTCCCCTAATACACAACCCACAGAGGCCATAGCGGAAGGTTAGAAAGAGTTCAGGTATGCAGAAGCTCTCTCTGTCAGCATCACTTTGATACTTACTTCTGGGTAAGGGGTTCTCAGTCATAACCCACATCCTCCAGCCTATTCTCTCACTGCTTCAGACTCAGGTCCCCAAAGAGCCAGGCTCCCCTTATGCACAAGTGACAAGACTTGGATTCTCAAGCAGAAAATTTGGGAACTGTCCCTAGAACCAGGAAAGGACTCTTGTCACAGGAAAGGGGTCATAAAGGTTTTCGGCACAGTCCATGGCTACCCATGATGTATATCTACCCTCCTCAGACAATGAGAACCACAGAAGAGACACGGGCAAGCAAACATAACACCAATAATTGATTTTGAAAGTATCGGAGAAAGTTACTTTGGGGGGGGGGGGAACACTATTCATACGACAAAGCCTGTTTTCCTATGGTCCTGGTTTCCAAAGCTAGCCTTGATCTTTTTTTTTTTTTATCACATTTCAGGTAGAAGATGACTGGAAATACATGGCCATGGTGGTGGACAGGGTCTTCCTCTGGGTGTTTATAATCGTCTGTGTGTTTGGAACTGTGGGGCTATTTCTACAGCCACTGCTTGGGAACACAAGAAAGTCTTAATCTTTATTTTCCTTTTGCCTTCTGAGTCTTTTAGATGATGTGTTTGTTCTAAACTACTTACTACAAGAAAAGGCCAAGCACCCTGTCTCCTAAACTACGACAAGAAGGGAAAGGCAAACCATATTACACAACCTTAAGAGCCTAGATAGATGTCTTCGTTATGCTGGGTGTCCATTAGAGCCTTTTACCACCAGAGCTGCGGTGCTCCCAGGCCAGAAGCACTGACTCAGTTTCCCTATGCTGTGCACACTTTGCTTCCAGGAACATGCATGACCCTCCCAGAGCTAGGCCCCGCAGCTAACACCAGTCCACACTGAAAAGTGACTCTCTTGTATCTGAACATGGTTGCAGCCATGATGCACAAGACTGGAGAGAAACTCTGGAACACTGCTGACATCCGCAACGCCTGCCTACTCCTGTGCCCTACTGTCTCGTGCACGTCTCTGGGATGGAGCTCACAGTTCTCCAGCACATGCATGGTTAAAGGAGAACAGATGGTGTCTCCCTTAGCGGACTAGTCGATCAGTTGTACTATTGGCTTTCTGTCTGTGTGAAATATCACCTGAGATAACCAATGTGAAAGGAGGAAGTTGCTGTGAATTCATGGTTTCAGAGGACTTAGTCCCTGATCCCTGGGCCCCATTGCCTCTGGACCTTTGGGGAGGCAAATCATGACAGACATGCCCAGTAGAGGGCAGCTGTCCACTTAATGGTAGCTACCAAGAAAGCAAACAGAGAGGGAGAATCTGGGGTGCTAATATTCCTTCCAAAGGCACATCCCAATGACTTAACTTCTTCCCAGAGGGCCTCTTATCCAAGAATCTCCATTACCTCCCAAAAGTGCAGAGAACTAAGTCTTTAACACATGTCCTTGGGGGTGATCCAAACCACAGCAGTACGGTTCTGGCAGGACAGGTGACTGGTACCAAGGGTAACAAAAATAGATTCTTTCCTTTGCAAAGTCATACATGACAAGATCAACAGGATCAAGTAATGGAGAACACAGTTACGGCAACCGAAATGAAAGAACCTAACTGGGAAGGACCTAAAACCACTCTTGTGTTTCTAATAGATATCTGTCTAGTCTTTCCCCCACAAACCCTTCACATGCTCACTGCATGGAGACAAAATAAAATCTGTATGAAATTTTAATCTTGTGGTCCTCACCTGACCATCTATGATGTATTCCTGCCAATGATGCAAAATCAGAAGGACGGTTAGGATCGCTGTAGTTGTGTTGGACTACAGGAAATTCAAGGGACAAAGGAACAAGCCAGATGGTGTCTGAAGTGAAGGGACTGAGAAATGGAAAGGGGAGATGTTCTCGTTGATAGCAGAGTTAATCCTCCAAGGAAAACATTGCCAAGGAAGAGACTAAAATGGACTGAGGAGGCATAACAACCCAACCCTGCACCAAGTCCTATTTCAGTAATCCTAACTACAAAGCTAAAGTACTTCTGAGTCAGAGAAACCACATTTAAAATGAACTATTTTGTTAAATATGACGATATTGTTTAGGAAATATTCTCATGTAAGAAATAATTCTTTCTGGTCAAGAGAAGGAAAGAGCTGGCCCCGCCCCTCACCAGCTGCAGCACCAGAGCACTGTTGACTAGGGCAAGGGTGAGCCAGCCACAAGAACGTGAGGAGGAGAGTCCTGGCCCTGCCCTCATCTGCCATGTGATGGTGTGGTCAAGCGAGAGATGTCCTTTCCTCCCTACCTAACCCACATTACCTGTGGCAGGTGGGAGAGCTGGCCCTGAGGTTATCAGAGCAGGAGAGCTGCCCCCGACCCTCACCAACTGCAGCACTCAGGAGAGCGGCCCCTGCACCTTGCCTGGACAACACAGTACAGCTGGTCCTGGTGGTGAAGGTGCAGATGAGCCAACCCAGAAGGGATGGAAGTAGAACCAGCCCCAACCTTTGCTCCTTGCTGCATAGGGTGAACTATCCCAGGCATGCTGGAGAGCTCACCCTAGTGGTGAGGATTTGGGGACAACTGGTGGACTGACCAACCCTGCAACCATTCAGGTCAAGAACCAGGACTGTAAGTGGGCCCAGCCCAATAGTCACTCCATCTATGATCTGCTGGAGCACATGAATGGGCTGGCCCTGCAGATCCAAAGTTGCAGGACCTCCACAACACAGGACAACAACAGGATATCCAAGAGGAATCCCACTGAGGGCTCAGTATTGATAGCATAGCAGAAAACAGAGACCTCAAACCAGACCACTGACTCTTTGCAATCAACACTTGCAAGTAAAGATGTACAGACCAAAGAATATACTGTGTGACTTACCGTGTCACACTACAGCTTCCCCAATGAGATCTTTCTCTTTTTTTCTCTCTTTTTTTTTCTCTTCTCTTATTTATTTTATTTTTTGGGGGGGAGGAAGAGCATTACAAAGGCAGAGGAGGGGTACAAATAGACAGAGAAATTAATGAGATTGAGATGCATGATGTTAAATCCACAAAGAATAAAAAAAGTTAAAAGATAAATAATTCTCTCAAGGTACACATTGAAAACAACGCACTGAGCTAGAAATGTTGGGGCAGGCTACACAAGAGTACACCATGTGGGTAATCCAATCAAACACTTCTAGTATTCAGAAGGTGCCATGGAAACTTCCAAAGGAAGGAGGCAACCAACTATAATGCCTATGAACCACATCAATAACCCGCAAGTCAGGGTGCAGTAGTGGCGCACAAACCTTGATGGTAACCAACAGCTCTCTAGCTGGACTTAAGACTCTCTCAGTAGCTAACTACTAACCTAGGTAACTACTCAGTGCTACTGAAGTCGTGGTCATTAGAGGAGAATCTACGACCGCTAATTCACTAAGCCAGCATAATCCCTAACAACAGTCTAAAATAAAAACATTTGTCTTTAGATCCACCAATGAGTGTAGTCTTCACGCCTCATCAAGGAAACTTCTCTTGGCGACAGATGGAAAACACTACAGAAAACCACAACCAATCAAAACACATAGGCGTGTAGCACAGTCCCAGATGTGTCTGCAAAAGACTCCCACACCTAAGACTCAGGGAACACAGCCAAAGAAGAGGCAGACGGATTGTAAGAACCAGAGGGTCAGGGAGTTTTGTGTCTCTTCTTAACATCAGAAGAGCTACGTCCATAAAGTCTCACCAGTATGACTGCCCACACATGAACTGAACAAAGATACCAATAAACTATCGGGGGCTGCAGCCCCCTGGCCCCTTGACTTTCTTTGCCTGCCTCAGACCCTTTGCCTGCTAAAGTGAACTGAGCAAAACAACTTGTTTACCTGTGCCTGCAGCTGCTCTGAGCACGAGACCCCGATGGCAGGAGAGTGGCTTCTGGTGGGCCTGTGATGGAAAGAGCCTGAGAGCTGGGGCGTGGCCAGAGCCCTATATAAGCTGCCCCTGAGCACAATAAAGTTGGCATTCCTGTATCAAGGGTAATCTGTGTCCCCGTGTCTCGGTCTGCGTGTGTTTCTAAGTCTCCAGATTAGTTCCCGGCTCGCGAACTGACCTGTAGTGGCACAGGTGCTACCGTAAACAAGCCGAACTGGACGCAGGAGAGCCTCAACCCCACACAAAGAACCGTAGATAGATAGCTGCAGAAAAACTAGGAATGGGAGAGGTGATTGTCTCCAGGGAAGAGCACACCAATTGACTCTCTAGTGCCAAATGGTCAGCCCTGAAAACATACATGCACATAGCGTTATATAGACTCAAGAGGTTACATTTAGAAACATATATGTATAATAATACATAAGTGCATGCAATAACAATTAGTGAAAAAAATAGGCCATAGATTTGAAAGAGAGTGAAGAGAGGTATACAGAAGAACTTGGAGGGAAGAAAGGGGAGGGAGAAATGTTGCAATTAAATTATAACCTTAAAAAATAACCTTCTGGGGGTAGGGGGGCTGAGAGATGGCTCAGAGGTTAAGAGGTCCTTCCTTGTTCTTCCAGAGGTCCTGAGTTCAATTCCCAGCAACCACATGGTGGCTCACAACCATCTATGATGAGATCTGGTGCCCTCTTCTGGCCTGCAGGGATATATGCAGGCAGATGCTGTATACATAATTAACAAATAAATCTTTTTTAAAAAAGAAATAACCTTCTGGGACTGGAAAAATGACTCAGTACTTAAGAGCACTGGCTGCTCTTCCAGAGGTGTGAGTTCAATTCCAGGCAACCACATGGTGGCTCACAACCAAATGTAATAGGATCTAGTGTCCTCTTCTGACATGCAGGTATACAAGCAGAGCATTCATCCATAAAATATGAATCAATAAATAAAAATTTCAAAAAAACCTTCTGGGATCTAGTTTAATTCACAGAAACACATTAAATAAACCTTGTCTACACTCTCGGCCCTGTTATACATGTTGGGGGACACAGTGGAGGTAACAGTGGACAGGTAAGGAACTCGCCCTCACCAAACAGAACAAACAAGAACAATCACTTTCTAAACCACATAGTGAAAGTGGGGAGATCTCTGGGGCTGTGTTCTGTCAAGACCCCCCAGGAGCTGTGGGGTGAGCAGACACACAAAGGATGAGATCAACCAAAGAAGCTGTCTGTGCAGGTCTTGCAACACCCACGCACTGATTGGGATCAGCTGTCAAATTTTGCTCACAGATTTTTCTTTTTTTTTTTTCTTTTTTTTTTTTTTTTTTTTTTTTTTTTTTTTTTTTTTTTTTCTCTCTTTTTGGTTTTTCGAGACAGGGTTTCTCTGTGGCTTGGGAGCCTGTCCTGGCACTAGCTCTGTAGACCAGGCTGGTCTCGAACTCACAGAGATCCGCCTGCCTCTGCCTCCCGAGTGCTGGGATTAAAGGCGTGCGCCACCATCGCCCAGCCAGATTTTTCTTCCTATGCAGGGGAAGTTAATCTTTTTAACTTTCGTGTGTGTGTGTGTGTGTGTGTGTGTGTGTGTGTGTGTGTGTGTGTGTTTGCTATGCTAAGGCATTTGTGCAGGTGGCACTGAAGGACACCTTAGCGGGAGTCAG